GGAAGAAAATTATTTTTAAAGAGCAAGACCTGGAGGATTTTATTCAAACTCCTGTCCCATCAGAAACGATATTTTTACAAGGGATTTTAAAAATGAAATATTGTCAAGACTCCCAGCATTCCTGTTGGTGTAAGACTCCATTGTACCCCCCGGTTTTCCTTAGTGCAGAAGAAGGAGATGGACTTCTTCTGGGCACTGCCTTCCTCAGCCTCGCCCAGATCTCTTGCACGGGAGCTGAAACAAAAAGTAAGAACGTGCTTATTCCTATTCCCTCTAACCTTCCCACATACCCCCTTGAACTCAAAGTGGCGACTTTAAGGCTTGGGGACATTATACGACCTTCCTTGCCACCGTTGTTAAGGGAATAACGTGGTTGTTAAGCAAACCCGCCTCCCCATAGACTTTACTTGTCAGAAGGTCGCAAAAGGGAATCACGTGATCCTGGGACACTGAAACTGTCATAAGCACATGCCAGTTGCCAAGCCTTTGAATTTTAATCATGAGACCATGGGATTGCCGTAACAGTTGTAAGGGTGAGAAATGGTCATCGGTGACTTTTTTTCAATGCTGTTGTAACTTTAAATGGTCACTAAATGAACTGTTATTAAGTTGAGGAGCACTTTTAATATTATCCCTGTTTTCCTCAGTCATTCCTTTCTGGCACCTTTGCTTCTCTGCCTTAAAAGAAGTCTAAACCGATCACTTCAGTTGGATTTGGGAACTGGACTGAAGTGTCATTCAGGAAATAAGCCAAAAGAACTCCTTAGCTGTCAGAGCATTTGTAGTGTGACTGCTATTATGAAACAACCCAGGAGCAAAACACAGCACACAGAGACTTAGACATTTATCAGTGGTTTATATACAAGACATATACAGAAATATATGTGGTAGGCAAATACCTGACAAGCAATCATCCTTCTTAACTCTACACGGAGAACTCTGCAATGGATACCAGACACAAGGAGAGAGAAATACACCCTCTAATGGCTGCCTTATAGAAACACCTCTTAAAGTGGTAAAATTTCTGTGGACCCACTCTTAGTTTTAAAAGGGCAATACCAATGCTGATCCATCTTCATTGCATCAGCCTTACATTGCATCAGCTTTACATCTGGTCAACTCTTAAATCCCAACACCTTAACATTAGTAGACATTCATTTTTCTCCCAAATCCTTTGTGTTTTCAGAAGAGACTTCAGGCTTCTTACCTTGCTTTGGCCCAAGCTTTCTCACGTTCTACGGAAGCCAAAAGGAGTTTCTGAACCCAGCTGAAACTCCCGAGAAACGCAGGATTCAGGTGGTAAATTTGTCCCATTAACCAAGCAAAGTTTCCTAAGGGGAGGTTGAAAGTGAGTGGATTGTTCATTTGTCCTGTAAGATACAGTAGCTGGAAAGCTAAGCAGACTAGAGAAGAGAAGAGAAGAGAAGAGAAGAGAAGAGAAGAGAAGAGAAG